ATGATTTGGCAATGAGTAATTACCAACAAATCTCGATAATCCCATAGTATTCGCTTAAAATAATAAACATGCAAGTACTTTTATATACAAAAACACTTTTATTATTGATTCAAATATTTTTATAAATACTATAAAAAAAAATAATATTTATATATGGAGAAAATACAGTGTTAATTCAAATATTTTTATATGGATATAACTTTACTATTGATTCAAATAATTTATAAATTTTTTCAAAATAAAAATAATACTTATATACGGTTGATTAAAAAAAATTATATACTAGAACGAATTTCCTATTGATTCAAATTTTTTTATAAATATTGTCAAAATAAAAATTATATTTATCTACGGGAACATGAAGTTATTGATCACAATATTGAATAATAATAGGAATAAATTTATTATTGATTAAATTACAATTAAATTATAGAATTAAATGCATTAAAAAAATGTTTTTTATTATCATTATTATTTTTGATGATGTTGATTAACTATAGAAAATAATTTTTAAACAAATCATAACTTATAATTTTCTAAGAACACCAAATTAAAATAATTACAACGGAAACACGAAATTACTGATCAATATATTGAATAATAATAGAAACAAATTTATTATTGATTCAATTTATAAATTAAAATTAAATTATAGAATTAAATTCATTCGGAAAATAAATGTATTTTTATTGTCATTATAGAAAATATCTTGATTCTATAAATTTTTTATTAAATACTCATGCTTTAATTTTTTCCCCAAATTCATACTACGTCGCTGCGTACCCAACTAATACTCAGCGTACGCACGTGTATCTCCCTAGTTTTTGAAATGAGAGAAAGGGCCTCCGATGAAAGATTGCCAAGTGTCACCTCTTGGCTAACAATTTATTTTCTTTGATTTTTTCTATTTCTTTCATTATTTTTGGAATTATGAAAATAATTTTTGGTAATTAAATTAAAAAAAACATCACATCATAAAATCAAACTAAAAATACAGTTAATTCTACTGATTATTCTATCTAAAAAACAAAATAAAAGGATTAAAAATAAATAAAAATTAGACGCAAAAATGACCGAAAAATTAAAATGAATGCACTAAAATGATTAACGTGACATAAACCTCTGGAAAAACATAAGTTTAGATCAAATTTTGAAGTAAAAAAAGTTCGGCTGAAAAGGCTCGGACTGGTTAAAATACAACCGCAAAAGAAGTTGAAAAAAATGAGCACACCAAGTTAAACTACGCAAACCCTAGATTAGTAAAACTGACGTACATTTGAGAATCGATTCAACTAGTCTGTCTGTAGAACCGAAAATTTATTTTGGTTGACATTTTAAGTATTATGCTGAAAGGTATGTCGACTGTGATATACAGATGATGTCAATGTTTTGTAAATGCGTTGATTTATTGATTTAGGGGGAAAACTGGGGTATGACACATATGTAGGACGTAAAAAGCATTTGGAAGAAGAAGTTAACACTAGTGCAGAAAGAGGAATTTACATTCATCTTTATACAGTTTACACCTGTTATTATAGGGTGTAAATTCAAAAGGTGAAAAATGTCTGACGAATTTACACCTGTTTTAAAATGGATGTAAATTGGTGGTATATTAGACCTTTTCTTTAGAGAAAACGAATGCGAATTGTTACATATATACATTTAAATCAAACAAATTTACACCCAATTTGATAAAAATCAGGTGTAAAATGAATAATGTTTACTATGAATATCTACAAACTACACCTATTTTCTTTAAATAAGGGATAGAAATATGATATATCACCCTATTTTAGTTATCACGGGTGTAAAATATTTGATAATTACATTATATTTAATTTTAATTACACCATATTTCATACAACTAAAATATTTTTGTATATCGTTTGACATTCAATAAACAAACAAATACGTTATAATGTGGGTAAAAAATCAAAATTACACTTTCGAAGTAAATTTGAAAATACACTTCCGTAGTTTATTTTTGCAATAAATGAAGAACATGTCTCTCTGCAACGTATACCTTATCATGAAAAAAAACAACAACATCAGTTGAATCAAAAATATCAAAGTGGGTTATTGTTGTTGTTTGGCTTGATTACACCATGGGCCCTTTAAGATATTTAATAGTAACAGGTTGGTCCTTTACATTTTTTTGCTACATGTCAGTCCTTTAAGTTGCATAACGTCTACAACATTGGCCATTTGTTATGAATCTGTTTCAAAAATGCATATTTTTCATTAACGATGCTTATGTGGCTATAACGTTGGTGAGATGGTTGTAAGTTTGCTGATATGTAATTGTTGTAAATTAATATTTATTTAATTAGACAAAATCCCCTCATTTAAGCAGCATCCTTAAAGTTAACCCTAACTTTCGAAACTAAAAAAAATGAGCTGCTGCGAACGAAGATGAAGGATTTGAGGGAGACAAACTCAAAAGAGAAACATTAAGCATTGAGGTAAATATCGTTTTCCCTGCTAAAATGTATTTGCTTTATTGAAGTCTAAGGTTTTGTATGTGATCCCTTATAACACTTATTGATTTCTACATCTTACAACTTTTCTGCCAAAAATGGATATTTTTTATGTTGATTTTCATAATTGGGGACATTTTGATGATAGGCGTAGATATGTATAAGGGGTGGTGTCAAACTGGAAGTGTGATGGTGACAGATGGAGTTATTTTGAAATTTTGGGTGTTGTTAAAGAAATGGAGTATCTTGGGGTACTTGAAATGTGATATGATTTTGCTAGTACGTTAAAGGAACTAATTAATGACTTTGGTGTAATAGAACTACTAAATTGGTCCAAGACTCATGGCAAGGTAGACCTATACCTAGTCCACCCTATTTCCCAATTTGATGTAGTTGACGTAGTTGATGTCCAACCTTTACTAACTTATATCCAACTCACTGAACAACAGACTGAGATACTTGAAACCAACATATCAAAAACTGACATACCTGAGGGCCAACATGACATACCAGACACCATGCTTGAGATACTTAGAACTGACACCCTGAGTGAGATATCTGACATTGACATCATGCCTGAGATACCTGAAACTGACACCATGAATGAGATACTTGACATTGATTTCCAGCCTGAGATACTTGAACAAAATGCAAAAACTATTGAGAGTGACCTTAATGAACAAAGCGATGATAGTGCATTAGGGTGCAGGTTTGATGACTCTGATGATGAGGTATTAAATGATGGAATTGATGAGGTTTTGGTAGGAGTATGAGGCTTTTTTGTTGGCCACAATGATCAAGGGTTGGATGAATTAGAAGTAGATGATTCAACTCAAGGAAGAAAAAAAAGAAAGGGTGGTAGACCAGAGAAAAAAGCCCAAGGGTGGAATAAGCCATGTCTGTTGAAAATGAATCATCAAGTGATGAAGATACAATTGATTTTGGGTTTGTTGAAAGGAGTAAAGGAAAAATGGTAGGTACGAGTTTATCAGATTGAGATTATATATCTGAAGAGTTTGAGACTAATGAAGATTCAGATAGTGAATACTTAGATGAATGAACTCAGAAAAAATATCCATCATTTGTGATGCCTAAAAAGTTTGTGGACTATAAGTGGGTTTTGGGTACCATGTTCTCAATAAAGGAGGAGTTTAAAGAAGAAATAACAAACTATGTTGTTATAATGGTAGAGATTTACACTTTATAAAGAATGATAAGACAAGGGTTATAGCGCGATGCAAGGAAGAGTGTGAATGAGCTGCATTATGTTCCAAATTGTCAAATGAGGATACATGGCAACTGAGAAAAATGATTGACACTCACACATGCAATAAGGAGTTTAATGTTAGGATGTTTAACACTAAATGACTTGGGAACAAGTTGTACTCAACTGTTAGAGTTAATCCACCTATGAAACTCACTACAATATGTGAGAAAATGCATGAGAAATATAATACTGGTATGAGTAGAATGAAGGCTTATAGGGCAAGGAAGGCAACACTTAATTATGTAGAAGGGTCATTCAAGGAACAATATCTGAGGTTGTATGACTACACACACGAGTTACTGAGAACGAATCCAAATAGCACAATTAAGTTGAAAGTGCAATCAACTGAACCACAAATTGAGGAAACTGAGCAACAACATGAAAACTATGTTAGCAGACCATTATTTCCAATTTTTTAGCGACTATATATGTGCCTTGATGCTTGTAAGAGAAATTTTCATTTTTGTAGACCTATCGTTGTTCAGACTAGCAAGAGGTACAATTCTCTTTCATACTCATTAGCATTTTACTAACACAAACTCTATGTTTAACTATTTTCTTATGTTTAGGGGTTGTTACCTGCATTGAAAGAATTGTTGTCGGGTGTTGTCTTTTATATTTTGTTGAGCTATGATCATGTAATTTTGGATTCTAGGTGGCTGACTTAAAAACATGTAATTTGGATCATAATTTTATGTTTTGGATGTCTACTATGTATTTTGAATGATACTTCATGAGAGAGTTCTAAAAATTAATTACATGCCAAATATTTTATCAGACTTCCTACACTCAAGGCCAGAAAAACCGAATCTCATTAAAAAAGATTACCAAACAATTAAATGCTATTATTAAGGCTAATAACATCTCTTGCATGCTATCTAGTTTGGCTGAGTGTCTCTGTTCATATCAAAGATTTTTTTTTAATACTTAACAAACTTCTACCCACTAATATTCATTAAGAGTCCCACGTCCTTATGGTTTGTCCCAGGGAAAACAAAGCCATGCCCGGCAAGAAAGAACAATTCGGCTTGGTTGATTCTTATTTGGAACAAACTTCATTCTGTTACGAAAGTTTAGTTTTGGATTTATTAGGAATGCATATTTTTTGATTTTTTTTTTAACCATGAATCCTCTAGACCTTGAAAACACTTGAAAAGCAAGCAACTCAATATATATAGGGTTGTATGTTATAAAGATGGATATACTATTAATATATATCAGACTCCAACACTCCCAAAACCAAATCAACAAGAATTATGAATCCTCTAGACCTTGAAGAATTCAAAAGACAAGGCTACATGATGATTGATTTCCTCACAGATTACTACAAAAACATTGAAAACTATCCTGTTTTAAGCAATGTAGAACCTGGTTACCTTGCAGAAAAACTACCCTCTTCCCCTCCATTTCAACCAGAATCCATTGAATCAATACTTGAAGATGTTCAACACCATATAATCCCTGGAATCACACATTGGATGAGTCCTAACTATTATGCTTATTTCCCTAGCAGTGGTAGCATTGCAGGGTTTGTAGGTGAAATGCTAAGCAATGGATTCAATGTTGTTGGATTCAATTGGTTATCATCACCCGCTGCAACTGAACTTGAAACCATTGTCATGAATTGGCTTGCAAAAATGCTAAACTTACCAAAATGTTTCATTTTTTCATCCAATTTTGAATGTGGTGGTGGTGGTGTTTTGTTAGGTACAACATGCGAGGCTATTTTGTGTACCCTAGTGGCTGCAAGAGATGAAAAACTTTCTAAAATTGGAAAAGAAAATATCGGAAAACTTGTTGTGTACTGTTCTGATCAAACACATAGTGCACTTCAAAAAGCAACTCAAATTGTTGGAATTCATGCACAAAATTTTAGAGTCATAAAAACTGAAGGCTCCAATTTTTTTGCTTTGTCTCGTGAGTCTTTTCTTTCTACCATTCTTTCAGATGTTGAAAATGGTTTGGTTCCTTGTTTCTTATGTGCAACGGTTGGCACAACCGCGACAAATGCTGTTGATCCTATAAAGCTATTATGTAATGTGGCAAAAGAGTATGATATTTGGGTTCATGTTGATGCTGCTTATGCAGGTTCAGCTTGTATTTGTCCCGAATTCAGACATTACATTGATGGAATTGAACATGTGAATTCTTTTAGTTTTAATGCTCATAAATGGTTTTTGACTAATCTAGCATGTTGTTGTCTTTGGGTGAAAGATCACAGTGCTTTGACAAAATCACTGTCAACGTATCCTGAATTCTTGCGGAACGATAATTCCGATTCGAAGGAAGTGATTGATTACAAAGATTGGCAGATACCCTTGAGTAGGAAATTCAACTCACTCAAACTATGGATAGTTATTCGAAGCTACGGCGTCGAGAATCTCAAGAAGTTTCTGAGAAATCATGTGGAGATGGCTAAAACATTTGAAGGACTGGTGAGGAAAGATGAGAGATTTGAAATTGTTGTGCCGACGAGATTCGCTTTGGTTTGCTTTAGGATTTGTCCATCAGCAATTAACATTGATAATGGTAGTGAAGGTTGTTACTGTATTGGAAAAAAGATGAATGATGGATATTCGGTGAATGAAGTGAATCATAAATTGCTAGATTCAATAAATGGTAGTGGTAAGGCTTACATGACTCATTGTGAGGTTAATGGAGCTTTTGTTATCAGATGTGCTATTGGTTCAACCTTAACAGAAGAGCATCATGTGACTATGACATGGAAATTGGTGCAACAACATGCAAGTTTTCTATTAGATACTCCTCAAACTGGTTGAAGGGTTTCATCTCAAACTGCTCATTTTCTGTCTATTGTGTGTCTTCATATATGTATTCACCAAATCTTGCAATAATTTGAAGGTTTTCATCTCAGAATAATCTTTTATTTACTTTGTAATAATCTCTCAAATTTGATCTATTGATTGTTTCAACTACTATGTAATTTTCATCTATGTGATGAAATTGGAATAACAAATCCATTAATAGGATAGGACTATTGAGATGTGTAAGTTTTATTGGTAATATGTAGAAAAGCAGTCATGAATTATTATATATAAGCATTCAAAACTTTTATTTTCTATGAAATTTGATTTACTATATATTTTTATAAATTAATATTCTCTACGCGCGACAGTAGAGATTAATTCTCAAATTGTGGAGGATCATAATAAACAATAAAAAAAAATTTTAAGAGATTTAATACTGTTATATATTTATGATTGAATTCAAACTCAGAATCTGGTTGAGAGGAAAGAAACCCTTATTATTTACTATTGATTTATTTGATTCACTATATTATGAATAAAAAAAAGTTTTAACTGTTTCAAATGGAAAGCAATGACAAGTAGTTCATCATATACACATTACGCTGAAAGTCAAATTTCTAGCACATTAATAATATTTTAGTTTAAAATTTAATTTTAAATAATTAATTATTAAATTGTAATTAAATTATTTATAATATTATGTTCATAGTTGCTGGATATTCTACCTATATTTGTTTTTCACTTTTTTACTTTTTAATATATATTCACTCTTTTTTCTCTCTCATTATATATACGTGAACGAATTCTTAGTATGTATTGGATTGAAGAACTAAACATTATTATTGAAAGATCAATAAAAGAAAGTATGTATTGACTATTTTATTTGTCTTTTCTATTTCTGATTATGTGCAAAATTTTGATGATTGGTATAACATACTAGATGATTTGCTTATGTTATTTATGTATTTAGTTCTAGATTGGTTATATAACCCACTTTGTGCTTCTAAAAAAATGTGCATAATACTATTGTATGCCATATAAGAAAATATTAGATTGATTCTTTATAATAAATAAAAAAAACTATGTTTTCATCATTCCAATTTCACATTTATCACATGATGAAATTAATGTTAAGTTAATTAATCATGTGTTTGATTATACTCTCATAAAATTTGTTTTAAATACTTAAATTTAAAAAGTGATACTAATTCAAAAAAGTAAAATTTAAATTTAATTAAATAATTTAAATTTATTTAAAATCGATTTTAAACTAGTTTGAAACTGATCATAAATTTTAAATTTATTTTTGTGACAAACAATTTAGTTTATAAATTATAACCATAAAAATGAGATGGAATTGTATTTTTTTTAAACCGTCAAACTTGGACAAAGAAAATGAAGAGTCATGATGAAGTTGAGAGGTCGAAGAATCCGCAGTGTCAATCAATTTTTTTTAATTTTTAACATATTTTTGGTCCAATATACCATATTATTTTTAGATAATTCTTGAAATTTTATCAGATTTATTAAAATGTTGTACTAAAATTTTGTTTGAATATTTCTTTAGCGTAGTTTTTCAGAATTTCGATGTAGAGATTTACCGAATATTTAAAACATCTAGTAACACTCCTAATTTGAGTATCAAATATATTAAAATGTTTGATATGCATAGATTTTACCGGATTTTTTATAAAGAAAAATTGGTAGTAAGGTGTTTTTTTTTTTTTTTATACTTTTTTAACTATCTTTTTTATATTATTAACATAACAATACTACCATATAAATATAAATTAACATATTTTAACATAACTTATCATAAATCTAAGTTTCATCACACGATTTAACATATAAAGTATCGGTACAATCACAACTCAACTACATATATACATATAATTGCAATTACAACAATATCAATACAGAAAAATTATGTTGAAATGTTAACTTCTTATTCCCAATGCTTTATACGTCTTACATATGAAGTACATCATTAAATTATCCTAGATGCATTTTTATTCATTTGTTAGCTGTTTCACAATCAACTTTGAATCACCTTTAATCTCGAATCCTTTTGCCCCCAAGTCTAAAAAGATCTTAAGGCCTGCAATTAAGGCTTCATACTCAACCTCGTTGTTTGAGCGACAACTTTTAATTTTAAATTTAAACTTAGTTGGAATTTCTTTAGGAGAAATAATCAGAATTCTAATACTAGTTTCATGTTTATGTCTGGAACCATCAAAGTACAACATCCAAGATTTTAGGCTAACATAACTCTGTGTTGCTTCGACTATTGCATGATCAACAATGAAGTTAACCACAACTTGACTTTTCACGACCTTTAAAGGGTATAAGTTAAAGAATGTTCAGTTAAAGCCATAATCCATTTCCCAATTCGACTATGCAAAATAGGTTTGGATAACATATGCTTAATAACGTCAAAATGGGAATACGCAAAAACATATGTTGGCTTTATATAATATTTCAATTTAGTACATGAAAAATACAAACACAAACACAACTTTTCTATGGGACTATACCTAGCTTTTGTATCATTTAAAACTCGACTGAGGTAATAAATTGCTCTTTCGACACCATCATCATTCTTTTAGGCTAACATATTTTCTATTGTCAGTTCGGATGTTGAAATATACAACTACATAAATTTATTTCTCATGGGAGGCAACAAAATAGGAGGATTTGACATATATTTTTTAACTTTATCAAATGCTCTTTGATGTTTTGGCTGCCATCTGAATCCTTCTTTTTTTCTTTAAGTGTGGTCGTGGTGAAAACACTTTTGTTTTTCCACTTAGATTCGGTATGAATCTCCTCAAGAAATTAATTTTTCCTAGAAGAGATTAAAGTTGTTTTTTATTTGTTGGAGATTTTGTATTGAGTATAGCCTTTTTCTCTTTTGGTTTATTTCTATACCCTTTTCTAAACCACAAAGCCCAGAAAATTGCTTGCATGGACATGAAAAGCACATTTTAATGGATTCCTTTCATCCCATATTTCCTCATCCTTTCAAGGGATTGTCAAACGTGGTCTAAATGACCATTTCTTGATGAGGATTTAACAAATATATCCTCATTGTATACCTTCATGAAGGTCTCAATGAAGTCATGGAATATATGATTCATTGCCCTTTGATAGGCTGCACCATCATTCTTCAAGCCAAAAGGCATCACCCATTCATAGGTATGTAAGGTTCCAGGACATCAAAACACCATTTTTCACACATCATCTATAATATAAATTTGGTCATATCTAGAATAACCATCTAGAAGACTTAGATATTCAAAATATGTTGCTAAATTGACTAGCATTTCTGCCACATGCATTGGATAATCATATTTTGGAGTAGTAGCATTTAAGACCCTAAAATATATACAAACTATAAGAGTTCCATTCTTTTTAATGACATGAACTATATTTGCTAACCATTAAACATACCTATTAGTTCTTATGAATTTGTTCCTCATAATCCTTTTTATTTCCTCTTTGATATTCGACATCAATTCTGGTGCAAACCTTCTAGGCATATGATTCACTGGTCTTTTGTCAGGTCGGATCGGTAACATCAACTTCACCAACTCACGATTGAACCCTGACATTTCATCATAGTCCCATGCGAAGCAATCTTTGAATTCTTTTAACAATTCAATTGGTTGAACTTGCATGTTTGGATGGGTCTTGGTACTTATATATGTTGGCTTTTTGTTTCCTTCATCTCCTCGGTCGACTTCTTTAGAGAATATTGGGTTTGTGTCTTCTTAGTTGAAGCTAATAGATCTTTTTCAAATCTCAAAGGCTCATTGTGTAGATGCCACCAAGCCTCTGGCTATCTGACGTTGGATTCTGACCAACTTCCATTTTTATATTATTTTTAATTTTATTGGCTTCAACAACCTTTTTTGGGAAATCAGCCTCCAAGGCAGCTTTGATTCTATTTTTGGCCAAGTAAGCCAAATCTGAGCCAAAACATTAGAATCAATCATCATTGTTGTTTGTTGACCACCCAGTAGTTATGGTCGAACCTTTAACCCCCATACTTCCATGCTCCCACATAATGACATGGGATGGATACGACTTCATGGAGCAAAAGATATCTCCCTACAGAGAAAATGCTTCTCCCGCAGGCATACGAGAGGAATATTAGCCAACCTCTTATCAAACATCCTTTTATCTACTTTATGAATATCTTTCAAAAAGTAACTCTGGCCAACCATAATATTTTCGACAATCCCATCAAGCCTCCCTATGGAAATCTTTTGGTGTGGATTCGATGGTTCCACTCTTATGCCATGGATCCACTCTTGTTCTAACAGACAATTATAATTAGCTTTGGACGCAAATGCCACGAATAAGATCGAATTTATTATTGTTCTTTCAATAATTTTAACTTCAATAACTCCTAAAGAGTAACTTGTTTTTACCTCAAAATTGGACATAACCATGTTATGGGGTCTCAAATATGTATCAAAATTTCCAAATTTCTTTAATAAGAAATACGATATCAAATTTACAGCTGCTTTGTTGTCAAGTAACACTTTATTAACGCCCACTCCATTTTCCTTAATCCAGATAAATAATGGTTTAAGATGTTATTTCAACCCTTCGTAGGGCCTTTCAAAAGAGGTATTTTATTCCCCGACACAATTGTTTTAGTGTGTGTGTGTGTGTGTGTGTGTGTGTGTGTGTGTGTGTGTGTGCGTGTGTGTGTGTGTGTGTGTGTGTGTGTGTGTGTGTGTGTGTGTGTGTGTGTGTGTGTGTGATTTTAGCCTTATACTTTTACGATAAATTCCTTTTGACTTTACAAACGTTCACTCATTACTAAAATAGGATATCACCATATATTGTTTCAATAATTTTTAGGATATTACTCTATGTTGACACATGCTCGAGTGGCTTTAGATGAGGCTTTAGTTGTATTCTTTGTTTTCCATCATCAGATAGTCAAGTTTATCAAATCCCTAAATATAGGTTTGCATTTTATCCATTTAATCATCCATGAT